CAAACTCTTAACAGTCTATCACCATACCATCTATCCTCTAAAAAATTCACTACACCCACTAGCCAGCTTAAAACCTACAAAATTTGTTACACGGTGCCCAATGCCTGCAAGTCCATCTCCATAAATTGTTTCCATGGAGTCTTCGTTTTTTCTAATCCTTAAACCTCTTCCTTAATACCAAAATTTGCCTGAATCACCTCCCACCATGATTCACCCTAATAATTCATGAATTTCCAAAGCCATTTGGCTAGTAAAGGCTCATTCATCTTAATCAAAGATCTAATGGCCAGCCTTTCTTCCCTATTCAGCCTTTTCACCTATTTCTACAACATCAAATGATAGCACTTTTGCTTTCACATTTTCACCCCGTAAAAAATGGTATTATAAAGGTTCCAACAGTCTAGCAACCTTTGCTGGAAAAGGGAAAAGGGACAAGAAGTAAACAGGAAGGTTGGATAAGTTGCTCTTAATTGAAAGGAGATTTGGAGTGTTTGGCGGACACCTCAAACAACTCAGGCCTGCTGTCTGATGATGACTTTTGGTCTTCCCTGTTCCAGTAATCGATGTTTGATATTTTCTAGTTTCATGTACCAAGCGTAGCTTTCATATCATTAATAGACATATATCTTTCTTGTAATTCCTTTTTCATCTTGAGTTTCTTTAGCTACATTTGATAGTGACCTTTCCTTCTTCCAGAACAAGCAACCAATTTTCTTTTTTTTCATAGAACTACAAGTTTGAGAACTTTTGGGATTTTTTGCAGGGAATGAAGCCTCTCAAGTAGTATTTAGCTGCTACTTCTGTCTTAGGTACAATTATTTATTTTCCTTTCATCTATTAGTACATTCTTTGTAAACAACATATTCATCTGTTTAATTATCCTGTATTGCAGATATCTTGTTTTATTTTCCATAAAGACTGCAAATATAACGAGTCCAGTGCTTGCACAGTTGATAGAAATCTATAAGGAAGAGAATGGAGTACGATCTAAACAGCAATTCCAATTTCATTTTGTCATCTAAGAAGAAATAACTATTTCTTCCCGATTCCAAAGTTTGATTGAACGAATTGATGTCTTTAAGTGAAAGTGAGAATAAATAAGCATACCCTTCAAATTATACTCTGTTACTTGCTCTTAGAATAACTGTGTTCTAAGCAGTCTTCACTACAAAAATGTACTTCTAATAGATTAGGTTGACTGTAGAACTTGAACAGAATATAGTCTGGAGCTTAATTTGAATTCTTACCAAGATACAGGTGTTAATAAGGAAAAAAAATTATAGCTTTATCAGTTCTATGCTCTCAGATAATGCAAGTGCCCCTTATGTGATCTGATGGATGAGTACTAGCTCTTATTAGAATTCAGTGTTTTCTGCTATGTTGTTGAAGAAATGAAAGTGTCTATTTATGGGTTTACAAATAACTGAAGAAGCTAAAAATTTCAACTAAATTTAGATTTTATGTTATCCACTTACTAAATCCAGAAAATCAAGAAGTAATAAACTGAAGTTAATCTAATTCAAAAAATTAAAGAGCAGCAAACTGAAATTAATCTAATCTTCAGTGACCAAATCTAATTAAAATAGGTCTCAATTTGAATCAACCTTCGACGGTATACACTAATGTCAATCGTCCAATTGCTTCAATTTGAATTATCCAAAGAATGTGTTATGTAAATTAACTATAAAAATTGACAATTAAAATTTATTTACCAATTCAATAGAAGCTCAAAGAGGTGATTAAACTCCTAAATAGTGATAAAAGTATAAAGAAATATTGGGTTCCCTATTTCTGTTCCTAAACAAAATATAATGTCATGAGCCATTAATAAAAGAATTATCTATTTAGATAACTTTATTATGGTCTAATTCAATATGGAATGAACTTAATATTAATATATTATTTCATAACTTTCTTCTATTTCCATTTTAAGTATAATTGATCTAGTAAAAATTTTAATTAGTGTTAGACAGAGGGATCTTAAGCTGAGAAATAAATTCTACAAACTAACAAAGGGATCCTGAAACAACCTCAATAATTGAGTTTATTGAGATTCATGATGTAGTAGATACTATTACACACACAAGCATGCTCAATGTAATGGAAGTTTTTGATCTAAAGGAGATTTGTATGACTTCATAGATGAGGAAATATTCTTGCTTTCGTCCAATCGTTAGTAATTTGATTATTTCTATATAATAGCAGACTTGTAACTTCCTATTAAAACCAAAAAATATATGCTTATGAATAAATGGAAGTTTTCTAAGGAAAAAAAAAATTAGTTATTCAGGAAGACCTCGTAGAGATGAGAGAGCGATTTAAAGAGAGCCAAATCAGGAGTCAGGAACCAAGAAAGACTGAGCAGCCTTCAATTATTCCGAGCAAAGAAAATAGGACAGTGTATGATCAAAAGTTACAGAAGAGAAGAAACAATGTTGGCTATGCAAAATATTTCTTATTTTTTATGTACATGTTAATACATCAAAATACATATGTACATCGGTATGAGCGTGTGCGTGACAGTTACATACAAAAAACAGTTTATTAGAAAATACAAAAGTGCATTTTTTTTTTTTAGTCTTATCATTTCTAATGAAGTGATTTCAGCCCAATGATCGTCTTAGAGTGAAATTAACTTCAGTGTTTCAGCATATTCCAGCAGGTACTCTCAACAATATGATTCACTCAGAAACATGTATTTACTTATCTGTGAATAATAACTACTTCTCTGCTATAGTCTTACAACTATTGCCTATTTGATAAGCTTGCTGATGGAATCTTCATACCTCAGATTACACATCCAGCACCTGCAACATTCCAGCAAATAAGGAGTGTTGAACTACAATCATAAATAAAATGCAGTAACAAGCACTACATATATTATACACATTAGATAAACAAAAAATTTGACCCCATATACAAGCTTTTCGAAAACCAAGAGATCTTCATTCAGAGGAGAGAGAGAAAGTGGAAGAGAGAGTCAGCAAAATAATACCAACAGAGATTTCAAGAAAAAGAGGTTTCAAATGAAATGTGAAAACTTCAATGTTTAGTATTTTATTCACAAAAAATAAAGCATCACAACTTGCAGAACCTCATGGGTACATCTTCCACCAAGAACAATGAATATTCAGTTCATGGGAAAAAGCCGTGTCTTAAAGACATCAAATACAAAAAAGACCATTTTGAATCTCCACCTAATATTCACCATGCAGGGATATGTCAGAGTCTCATGCTCTGGATCTGGTCATAGAACATGCTAGTGTGAAATCCTGAAACAAGCAGACTGCTTGCTTCTCACCAGCCTATGGCGAGGCTCATCTAACAAAACCTCTGATCTTTTAAAGAACAACTCTTTGAATTAATAGTTTGATGAATTTATTCATGATTAATATGTGTAGTTGTGGAGAAGCTAATACAATTAGATCCCTATTACAATTCTAGTAATCATAGTCCTAGTTTTATTTCAATTCCTAACTTTTTTTTCTGAAATAAGTTCAATTCCTAATACAAAACTAATCATAACTCTAGGAATCATAGTCCTAACTTTATTCCAATTTCCTAATCTCTGTCTAGATCTAAATATTTTTTTATAGAAAAAAGATATTCTTAATTTAACTAGAAATGTATGAAAATCGTATCTATAAGTAATAGAAATTGAGTTCATATGAAATTCCAAGTAAAATTAAATTACTGCATTACAAATTCTATTAGATTCCAATTTCACCTAGAATTCCCTGTGACCTTAAGTTTTATTCTTGTAATTAAAACTTTCACCCCTTCTAATCTGTGTAAATTTTTAATGAACTCGACAAAAAAAAATTTATTTCTGCCATACATAGCAAAAGAACTTTGTTTAAGACACATGATTCGCAGCAAATATATTATTTCAAAAGAAAATGATTTATAGCAAACACAACTTGGTCTTATCATGAATTGTAAACAGAAGGATGCTGTACGCACACATGGACAATAAAGATGCATTTCTAATAAAGCTAATACTGAACAAGCTCTAGGGAAATTATCTCTCTCTTATTTCTGCCTCTTTTTTCATGATGCCTAGGAATGGGAAATCAGATTTTTCGCTTTGAATTCCAGAGTTCAACATCCTGCAAACCATGATGTTCCAAAATCAGAATTAGAGATGCACATAGAACGATGGAGCATACAGAACCACATTCTGGACCACTATTATCAATAAAGCACCAAGAAGGCACCATCCATCTCTAGAATTATAATAGTTATTATTATTAAGGAATACAAATGAGATTACCCGCCAAAGCTTTGGATGAATATCCTTCTTTTCAGTCTCTGTCATTGTTCTCCAATGCAAATTGATCATTCAGTTCTTCATAATAGAAATGATAGCAAGCAGAGGTGACACCTAAAAGCTTGAAAAGAAGCTCTTTTAGTTTTCCCAAATCTCTGCATGCAACATGATTGTTCATGGCCCTGATCATTTAGAAGAGCACTTCACAATTCATCATAAACATAACTGAGAAAAGCATGTAAACCAACCAAAATCCTTGAATTTCAGCAGATTGCTAATGGATGATATTCACCGGCTTAGTAACTATCCTTAGATTCTCCTTATGGAATCCACATATTCCCCAGGAATAACTGATCTTAGTTTCTTGACGAAACTAGTCTCACGATCTCTAGCAGATAGATCAACGGGCAGCAATGAAGCAATGAGAACAACATTCTTTTCATTTCCAACATTGATTTCATACAACTCATTAAAGACCTTTCGAAACT